GTTTGTCAGCGAGAAGCAGAGGCGAAAAATGACAAACCCAACCTATGGCTATCCCTAGAGCCAGGCCTGCTTAATGATTACCCATACTCTTTTTTCCGTTTAATAGAGATGTCAGTGTATTCAAAATATTCAGTGTGTTTGGTTTGAGTTTTTTGGATTAAGTTTTTTAAAAATTGAGTTTTTTAATTTTCATATTTTTTTATTTTTAGTGAATATTTTAAAAATTTTAAATATATTTTTTTTTTACTTTTTTAGATGCACTTTACTTGGATGTATTTAAAAAGTAAAAATTTTGTGAAAAAATATTTTAAAAAATTAATAAATACATAAAAATACAAAAAATGTACTGAATTCTTGTATTTTTTTTTATATTTTTGGTATTTAGTGAATTTTTAAAAGATTTTTTTTTACAATTTTTTTACTTTTTAAGTATATTTATGTTAGGTGTGTCTAAAAAGTAAAAAAAGTACTTAAAATATTAAAAAAATTCAGTAAAAATAAAAAAATATCGAAAATAAGAAAGTAAAATTTTTTAAAAAGTGTTTTTTGAAAAATGAAAACAAACAATATTAGTGTAGTTTGGCAATAGATTAATTCAGAAACAAAAAAACAAAAATAAAACAAAAATAAATAAAAGTCACTAAAAAATTAATAAGTCTAAAAAATCATATAACAAATTAAAATTTTATTTTCATTCTCTTTACTTTTTGTATATATAAATTTTTGTAAAAAAACAAAAAAACTATTTCTAAATATTTTAATTTTTTCTACCTCATATTTTAATAAAAAAAACTACTAAGTTTCGCCACTTATTTATTAAAAATGTTTAATTTTGATTTTTTTTAAAATAATTAATTACTTGGGCAAACTCATATTTAAACACATTTAAAAATAAAAGTGCCCATATATAAATAAAAAAGTTGTTCAGAAATCTACAAAGAATGAGGCAGCAGATCTATATTTATTCATTTCAAATTAAAAAATTCGTTAGACTTTCTTAGATGGTGTTTCGAAATATGTCTCGCTCATAAATTTGAGTAAGAATTTAAATAAATAAATAAATAAATAAAATATTATTAAAATATTATTATGTTCCACTTAATTTATTTTTTATAATTTCCTATCAAAATTTATGAACCATACAAGGTTTCATAACCAAAACACTAGCAGGCCCTAGGCAACCGACAAACATTTCTCCCTACTAATTTGGGTGGATTTTTAATAATGGCAAGTCAATTTATATTTATAATTTATTTTATTATCTTTTGGAGTCAAGAGAAGGGTAAGGGAGGAAGACAACAAAATGAATTTTGATATTCAAATATAAATTTTGAATTTTATTGAATATTACAATTTTAATATTTTTCTACAATATTAAGGGGGATGCACCAATAAATCCTAAATTAATAACTTATACATTGCTTAGTCCTAAAAGTTTTTTTATAGACTGAAAGGTCCCATTACAATGTTTCAAACATCAGATTAATGTTTCGAACATTAGATTTCAAACATCAGATTAATGTTTCGAACATTAGATTGATGTGCAAATGGGACTAAATAGAACATAAAAAAACTTTTAAGACTAAATGGTTCAACTTTTCAGAAACTAAGACTTATGGGTAAATTTTCCCAATATTAAATCACTAATATTCGTTTTTCTAAAGCATACCCAGCAACTTCAAGTAGTAGTAATGTATGGACTTTATCAACCGTCAATTAGTAGCCAAGTTTATTGGCGTTTAGTTTTCAACACCTATGACATTTTGGAGATTAGAAAATTCCATATTAAAAAAAACTGAGTCTTTATTGTTATATGGAGATTAGGCCCCAAATTTTCTGTTTGTGAGACATTTGACCATTTCTAATCTCTTTTTTTTTTTTTTTTTTTTTTTACCAAAAACTAAATGCAAATGATATTTGTGAGTCCCAAAAAAAAAAAGATTAAAAAAGGAAAAAAAAATACTAAAATAAAGATTATTATTTGATCCGAAAGCCCGCAGTCCAACCTAAGTCCGCAACTCATGCACGTTTAGGAACCCTAATACTTGAGCTCCCAAAAAAAAAAGAGATTAAAAAAGGAAAAAAAAAATACTAAAATAAAGATTATTATTTGATCCGAAAGCCCGCAGTCCAACCTAAGTCCGCAACTCATGCAAGTTTAGCAACCCTAATACTTGAGCTAGGCTTGGGCCTACGAACTAAATCCCGACCCGGCCTACCAAACCAGCCCATTGACTTGTGGGAGGCCACATAAAACCCGCTCATTAGCCCATTACAAAATAAAAAAAAAATGAGAATTTTTTTTTTAAGGTCCTTGCTATTAAAATTTTATAACATAAAAGATATCAAATATTTTTATAATGTCTATGGTTTCTCATTTAGAAAAAATTCTTTCTAGAGAAATTGAATTTCTCTGGACTTCTCACTCTCTAAAAAATTTCTCTCCAGAGAAATTCTGGACATTTCAAAGAGTTTCTCCCCAAAAAAATTATCTCTAGAGGAATTCTAGACTTTCCAAAAAAAAATTCTCCAGAAAAATTCTGGACTTTTCAAAAAATTTCTCAGAGAAATTCTAGAAATTTTCTTCCTAGAGAAAGAATCTTAGAATTAACAAGAGAAAGAACATCCAATATTTTTGTTAATCTTCTACATGAAATGTTTCAAAATTGTTAATTTTAAACTCCAACTTGAACAAAATTATTAATTTTTGAAACTAGACTTTACAAATACAAAGCAATTCACTGTTCTCCATTTCAAATCAACTCAATAGCATGAGAATTAACACTCCATGTAATACAAACACAAACAAAAATGGAGAGTAAAAATTCGAGTCATACCGAAACTGGCGATGATGAAAAGCGATTGAGGTACAAAGAGCAACTTCTTTCCCTTCCTAATACTCTTCAGGACAACAAGCCCTCTTTCTCCTATTTCCACTCTCTTTATCGCCATTTTTTGAGGCGGAAGACCCGACTTCAACAACCATTTATGCAACGTCGCTGCATTCTGCCTTATCACAACAGATATCCGACATTGGTCTCATCCATCACTCGTCTCTCTCTCTCTCTCTGAGTGGATTCGTTCACTTCACCTACATCGACACAACCTCTTCTATCTCCTCACCCCATTCTTTTAGATCTGAAGGGAGTCGGGTTGAGTTTTCCAACCATAATAATGGTGTTGCAGGTACTCTGAAGCTGGAAAAACCCTATACGACAACGACGGTAGTAAGTCCGGCGATTACAACGCTGATGTGATCATCAACCCTGAAGATCTTCTTCTGGTGAGAAGAGAGCTCAAATCGAGCCTTATTGACTGAAGCCAACACAACGTGAGACTTTGATCGGAGACCAATAGCCGAGATGGTGGTGGATTGGTGTAGATTTGGAGACAGAGACGGTGGATCGTTGTAGATCTGGAGATAGCAGTGGCGAATTATTGTAGATCGACTTCAATATATGTGTGTGTAGAGAGAGAGAGAGAGAAAAAGGGGTTTTGGAAGTTGGCGTGAAAAATAATCATTTTTTTTTGTGATACATGAGGTCAAGGTTGAAGGACCTTACAAATCACAAAATAATATTGTGAACCTTATCCATTATTAAAAATGAGATAGAGACTAATTTTCTCTAAAATAAAATAATAACATACACACTTTACATTGTACTCACAATTTAAAAAACAAAACAAAATTAATTAGCCAATAACAACACTATCACACTTTGAATATAAGACAATTACAAATATATATATTTAGAGGGAGATTTATAATATGGCTTTGGGCCGTGGAGGAAGCCGGACTGGATAGGGCAGAGCACGTTTGGACCGAGCTAATTTGGGTCTATTCCGAGTGGGTTTCACTCGGTCGTGGCTCAAGCCCTCAGTTTAGGCTGAGCTAACTGGGGCTTCCCTGGAGTTGATCTTGCTCGGTCGAGGCCCAGGCCCGAGGTTTAGGTCCCATGTTTGGACCGAGCTTACTTGGTCGAGATGACCGTCTGCCAACTCGAGTTCCATGGGTCGCACGCGTAGCTCGGTGGGAAATGTCTTCTGTTCATCGGCCGACCTGTCTTGAGCTCGGCTCTGCCGAAATGCTATCGAGCTCGGCCGTTATGGAGCTCGGCGAGTGGAGCACTCAGGCACGTTACGCAGCACGGTCGTGGAAGGCCGAGGTAATGCCGCCGAGCTGCCAAGTTCCCGCTAATGTTGTCTGACGGTTTGGTTAAGTAGTGTTTGCTAGATTTGTGCTAACAGATAGGAGAACAGCTCCACGTGTCGAGAGACTAATGGGTGCAGAGTTGAGCGCAGAAAGTATATAAGCATGACTACGCCCCCCATGTTGGAGATGGAACATCATTTGGTAAGAAACACTCATTGTGATATATCTCTCTCTTCCTCTCTCTCTCCCTAAGTGTGTGTGCTAACTTGACCGTCAGAGGGGTTTTTCAGCCACACACCGCCGGGTAACTCACCGCCGTTGTGCTCGCAGGTCGATCGGAAAGACAAGAAGCTTGAACGAAAGGAGTGCGGGTTTCGCGGAATATTGGCTTCCCGTACATATATATATATAAACTCAAAATAATTGCAAAAATGTAGAAATATAAGATTTAATTGCAAAGCCTGATACATGAATTACTTATACTTTCATAACATTACAATTATTTTTGTATTGATATCATTTTCTGTAATTCTCCCTTTTAATATTAGAAGAATACCAAAAAAAATATAAATAAAAACCCAAATCTAGGGCCAATGACCGGTCAGCCCGCCCACTAACCTGCCATGGCCGTGCCTGTTGGATAAAACCTGGGTTTACATTTTTACCCAAGACTAAACATGGGCCATAGTTGGGCCTCAAGTTTGAGCATGTAAACCTATCCAGCCCCATCTGGGTCTGCATAAAAGCCCACTGTTTGCACGTTTGTGTGTATTCGACTTGGATTTGGATTTGGATTTGGATTTGGATTTGTTAGAAGAAAATTAAAAGAAAAAATAAAAAAAAACACAGTAAACCAGAACGCTTATCCAAACACTGACTGACCCGTCTCGCGGGGCGGACCAGAGAATCGAGTACATGTACACACACACTCTGATTGGGGAGCAAAGTTGGAGCTCTGTGAATGGCGGTTTCATCGTCTCCTCAGCCTTCATTTCTCTCTTCTCTCCGGCTCAACAACACAACCACTGCCAACCTAAGTTGTTCGTCTTCCCCCAATCTTTCCTTCATTGTTGACGTTCCAACCAAAACCACCAATCCACGACGACGACCACAATCGATTGTCGTCTACTCTTCCAGTAAGTCTCTCCATTCTACAAATCCAAATCTTTCAATTCTTTTTTTATTTACTCTTTTTTTTCTTAATGTGACAATTTCAGAATCGAATAATGGACTCTCGAGTGATCAGAACAGAGAGTTTCTCGAACGATACGGTCTTAATCCCGACGACTTCCTATCAAAACCTTCTCCTAAGGTCTCTCTCTCTCTCTCTCTCTCTCTATAATATCAATATATACGTATATAATATGTTTGATAATAATGTAAATAAAGTTTGGATTTTGAATGTATAGACAAGGAGAAAGGAACTGCGAAAGACAGGGAGGGGAAAGCAGGTCCCACCGGAGGAACCTAAGCCGCCAAGGGAGACTCATAAATTGCTTCAGGTGTGGAATTGCTTGAATTTATCTTTATATTCATTGAGTTTGGGTAAATACATATACATTGTGCTGTTCCAATTTGATATAAGAATTTTGGGATTATTTTACTAATTCGCCACAATTTGGTGCGTTAATTAATATGGAACTTTTCATGGATGGAACTGGCAGCTTGTTGATTAAATGAATATTTACTGCCCTTATTCTCAATGGTTTTGGGAAATTATGCGCAATTGGAAACCAATTTTCTATTCAAGTAGTGCATTTGAATCACTCGCAAGTGTGCTCAAACTCAAACATATTCAAAGTGTGATCAAACTGCTTGAGAGAGAGAGAGAGAGAATGTGATCTAACTAGAAAAACTTTAGTTCAATGTGCATCTAAGTGTCTATCTTGGTTTTTTTAGATGTGAATGCAAAGGTTAACTTACAGAATTGAGGCTTGCCATTTTCAAGGATACGCTATAGTGATAAATTTTTCATTATTGTTTTTTCTTAATATGAATAGTTCAATATATGCATCGTCATAAAAGAAGTAATATCAACCTTATTGGTGATTTTAGGTGCTTGGAGGAACAGCTAAAAGGAAGAAATTGCTCTCACCAAAGGGCATGGACGTACGCCCAATGATGGAAGTTGTAAAAGGTGCAGCCTTTGACATTTTGCAGGTAAAAGATATCTTATTCTTCAAATGTTGTCCTCTAGTTCTAGAAACAAGATGACACTTCAATTTCTTTGTCTGCAATTAACCTTATGTAGATGCTATTTTGATATACTTATAATGTTGTTTTATTAAGGTGGCCGGTGGTTGTCCTGTATCTTTAAGGCCTGGTCGTTGGTTAGACTTGTATAGCGGCACAGGATCTGTTGGTATTGAGGCTCTCAGCCGGGGATGTTCTGAGGTACTATGATTAATTAAGTAAACTAGCAGTAATTTTTTAATTAAATTTTTGGATAGTTTGATGAAGGAGAAAAAGCATTCTAAAAGTTAGGATGTGATAGTTACTATTACTAGGTAGGAAGGGGTTGACAGTTACAAGATGGGAAAGGCATTATTAGAAAAGTAAAAAGCATGATAGCTTTCACATCAACTCAGGTCTATGATTTATATAAATAGAATAGATAACTGTTTAAGCGTTGGTAACGATGTTTGGCTGATTGGCTAGCTGGTAAATTAATGCTGAACTCATATAGGATGGAGTAGCTTCATGATATTGTTGAAAAGATGCGTTTGACTTGAGTTTTTGCAATGAGATTTTTTGATGACTTGTTTGGTTTTAGTTTCTTTTGCTGTTTTGATTTCATGTTTCTCTTATTGGTTTGCACTGAAATACATGCTGTGCATACTGTCAGGTGCATTTCGTCGAGATGGATCCTTGGGTTGTTTCAGATGTTCTACGACCAAATTTAGATTGGACTAGTTTTCTTGATGTTTCTGTCATACATACAGCCCATGTCGAAAGGTTCTTAGAACAGGCTGAGCGGTTTGTAGGCATGTGATTTCTTCTTCTTTGCTCTCTCTCTCTCTCTGATTTCTGGCCATCTGCAAACAATAATTTCTAATTTGTTGTGTAGTTGCCAAAAGTACTGTTCTAGGTTGTCAATTCAATTATTACCTTAACTCCTATGTTCTGACTATTGAGAGGAATATATTTTTATCTGCTATAACCAATAGAAGTACTATTGCCTGCCAGTATTATAGATTGAATTTGCGTGTTAGTATATCATTTCTTATTCTCATGTGTTTGCTTGTCTCTGTGTATGCTCTTTTATGCATGTGTCGTTTGTTTGTATATGAGATCCACGGATGGTTGTCTTCTGATAGTTTTTCTTTCATTTTCCTTCTTTACTAAGAATGATTTTGTTGTCTTTGATGAAAGGGCAAAAGATAATGATCACAATTTACCCACCATGACATTTATCACTCGTGATTATCGCTTCTTTACACCAAGCCCTGTACACCATTTTTCTATTGATTTGTTCTTGTCTTTCTATGATCTGAAGACTGAAGTCTATATTCTTATAGAGACATTGCAACTTATGAATTGTTTTTGTGTTGGGAAAGATGGGCCATTTGATTATATTAGCGTGACACCTCCGTATACTGAAGTGGATTATGGGGTACTGATGGATCAAGTTTCAAAATCATCTGTAGTTGGAGAGGATACCTTTATAGTAAGTTGGTGTTTTTCCCGTCGCTGCTAAATTCATTTTTATGTGTATATTTTTCACCCAAGGTTCTTCTGAAACTTCCAAATTTTGTGTTCTAGGTAGTAGAGTATCCTTTAAGAACAGACATGCTGGATTCATGTGGATGCCTCATAAAGGTACTTCCTATGACCATTTGTTTTTCTGTTGGCATTTAATTTATAAATGAAGAAAAATGGTTGCTCTTCTGACTTATTGCTTCTTTTACATCTTTAAATAAATGTTTAAGTCTAAAGATTCAGGCTAGGCATCAGAAAATGAAGAGCAATTGTAATTTGCATAGATTGAATTGATTCTTTGTGTATGGATTAGTAGCCTTCTTTAAATATCAATTTGGTTTATTTGTTGTTCCCGGCAGAGTGGAACACATTGCTATCATGTAAGCAAAAACAATTGCAGTTTCTGATATGGTGTATTATTCTGTTCTTTAGGTAGAGCCAGATAACAATTGAGATTTGAGTGCAAAATTTGTTTTTATTATTATGTACAGATTTCTGACCGACGGTTTGGCCGGACACATTTAGCAATATATGGACCCAAGTGGGCACAGAAAAAGAGAAAGTCGGAGAAGTCTATTTGGGCATTAGCAGAAAAAGTTTGATTGGTAATGGAAGTGTGAAATTTTTGAGGTTGAGTTCTGCAGTGGATGTTTGGCATGTCTTTGATGCTTTATATGAGATGTAATGTTCACTGCTGTGATGGAGCTACACTGGCTTCACCAGCTCTTCATGGTAATATGTTTTAATCTATTATTGCTTCTCTCTCTCTCTCTCTCAGTATATATTTTGTTGGTACGTTCAGCGTATCATGGCTGCTGAATAAGTGCAAGAATATTGATCTAGCCTGAAGCACAGTCAGATTGATCTTGTTAAACTGTAAGAATCAGTCTCTTGTATTGTAGGGTTTTTAACAAGTGGATGTGTAATACTTTCTTTCCTTGGTTATACGAATTATTCAACATTGTTATTAGAACTCATTGCTGTCTCTTTTTTTTTTTTGTTTTTTTCCTGTTGATCCTAGCACCGACAAGACTTGCCTGATTTTCAGTAACAAAAGAGAAATGTTTACATAGCTATGCACATTATTTGATATGCCAAGATAAGCCTTTGACCTACATGCCATGGATGGTTGTCTTGGATTGTTGATTCTGCTAAGGTGCTCTCCCAGCCCTTTTTTCAATTTTTTTTTTTTTTTTTTGGATAGGAAAATTGAAGAGTATTTGATTGGGAAGCAATGCAGCATTTCACTACGTAGTCAAAATTATGCTTGTATGAGAAAAACCTAGGGTTTTTTAGTTTTTTACATGATTTGAACATGGCGGCATGGAGTTGATGGTCTTGGTTAGGAATGGCAGGGGAGATGTGTTTGGTCTTTGGTGTATATTATTTAAATTTGAATATTTAAATGCTAGTGATATATGGATAGATATAAGGATTTTAAATATTAAAAAAAAAAGAAAGTATTTCATTGTAAAAAAATTGGAGATGCTATCATTATTCATTTCTGTCCATCTGTTTGACTAATATGAATCAAATTATTATGCAATTTATTTATCACTGGAGGTTGTGTAATTATATTATAATTGTGAAATTAATTATAATTTTATTATTACTATTAAAAAAATCGGTGTATTTAATTTTATTATCTATCTATTATATAAGGAGAAAGGAATTTTTGATTCACAAGTTTTGTGGAAGCTCTAATATCTCAATCTTAATTTTCTAATTTTTTGATTTAAAAAAAATAAATGACCTTAGCATTTATTGATTTCTTCCAATCTACGATTTTTTTTGACTTTTCTCATAGTTATTGAAGCACTATTTTCAATTTATCCAATACACTATGGTTAGTGATAGGATTATATAAAAAAATAATTTGTATATTAAAAAAATATCTAAAATAAATATAAATATTTATATCCATATCTATATATTTATATCCATATCTATATATTATGTAAGAAAGATAGAGTTTCTAATGAGAAACCTCTTAAGAGCTCCAAACTCTCATTCTAAAATTATTGATTTTTCAATTTATAAAATAGATTAAAAAAAACCTATTGGTTGATATCTTTCATAATTTTAGAAATAATAATGGGAAGATAACAAAAATATTTCATAATCTCTCCATCATAATCTCTCTCACCAATTTTCAAAAAAATAAAATAAATTAAAACTTGCATTCATTTTCTCTCCTTTGTGGGTATCTCTCTATATCTTATATATTATCTTGTAACATAACAAAAAAAAATTGAAAATCATATATATAAACAGATAAAATTAATAAATTTGATTTTTATTTATTCAGTTAAAATATTTATTTGCCTCTCAATATCCAATTTTAAAATTTCAAAATCTATAAAGTTTATAAATAAAACTCACATATCTATCATATATTTAACTCGCACCATAGCTTACATAAATAATAATAATTAAAAATAAATAGAAACCATATATAAATTAAATTTTTTTAAAAAAATAGAAACCCACAACTCTATCTAAAATAAATTGAAAAAAAATATATAGAAACCACACAAAAATAAAGAAGATAAGAATTTAGATATAGATCTCAAAAAGATATAACAATATCTAAATTTGAATTATGATTTAATAATATAATTATCTATTTTTTTATGTATATCTATCAAAATTTTAAATCACTTAATGGGATGAATTAATCAATTTTCTAAAATTATTGATTTTTCAATTTATAAAATAGATTTTTTTTAAAAAAAACTATTGATTAATTAATTTATTTAATTATTTTAGAAATAATAATTATCCTTTAATTTATGAATTTCAAATAGAAAGACAAAAAAAATATTTTATAATCTCTTCATCCTAATCTCTTTCACTGATTTTCAAAAAAAATATTAAAACTTGTCTGCCTTCTCTCTTTTCCAAAAAATCAGATAGTATTTTTATGAAAGTTGTAAATATCTATCTATATCTTACATATTATATTATAACATAACCAAAAAAAAAAAAATCAAATATACAAACAGATAAAATTAATAAATTTGATTTTTATTTTGTAACGCCTTCAAAATAAACCCAAAAACAGACATTCATGATATAAGAAAGAGATATCACATTTCATAAATCAGAGTATTCTTACAGAATGTATTACATGTTGACAACAAAAGTAAATGCCCTACGGGCTTACAACTTTCCAAGTCAACACTTGGTTACAAAAAGGAGAGTACTAACTCTACACAAAATAAGCCATTGGTTTGATATACATGTAATACAAAAAGTAATAAAAAAGGTCTCTCAGCCACTAAGCCTCCCAAGCTACGTCATTGGAGGTGGCATGTCACCTGCACCTGAAAATGATGTCCCAAATAGGGTGAGCCAACGCCCAATAGAGGTATGCTAAACATAATATGAGCAATAACTAAAATATTAGCACTTGATAAATGTTTAATTCATATAAACCAACATATATCACATTCCAGTTTCATGACAAAATGTCCATGTTCATTTTATTTTCCTTTACTTAGCTAATTTTCAACTCATATACATGGCTTAGAACCTGACCAAACAACTTAATGAGATTATAACTCATATCAACAATATTTCCCATTTATCGACAATTCAAATGAGATAACACTCATATTAGACACTTCCATACTTCACAATAGATACACAGATTTGCTGTATCATTAACATATTAAAACACTTCCATACTTCACAATAGATACACAGATTTGCTGTATCATTAACATATTAAAACACTTCCATACTTCACAATAGATACACAGATTTGCTGTATCAATGGAGTCCATCCCCTATCTCTTCCCAAACAATATCCAGTTTAGGAGTCCATCCCCTATCTCCTCCTACACAATACAATGTATATAAACAATTATCATATACACAATTAGTCAATACACAGATTCGATGTAATATTCCAACCATCATACTCAATGACATATTCAACGTGATTAGTTTCAATTTGTCTAATTATCATGCATTGTCTACAACAATCAAGACTATCCTCCACCGATAGCCCAAAGTAATTATTTTTAAACAGATAATAAATGCATCAACAGATAATTTATCGACAATTTCAAAAGTGAGCGATTAATAAATCCAACTCCACCATTAAATCTCATAATAAGCCAATTTCATTATTTTCAACTCAATTTCATATTTCCATAACTTTCCCCAAATTAATTATATAAATTAATTTATAACAAAATTAGGGCTTTCCTCTCTCTTTACTTAACATTGACCCAAGGTCCAAATGTTAACAACTAACATTATTAATCTCGTTTTAAGACCCAAAATATATTTTTATGGGTTAAAATAACAAAACCCCTTTTTCTCAATATTCCAAATCTTAAACCCCAACATCCAAATCGAACCATTTATACAAAATGCTCAAAATCTATGTCAAAACTCATAAAGATGAGTAGTTATCCCTACCTCAAATTCGGAGCTCAAATGAGGAGATGAAGAATTTCGAAGTTGCTCAAAATCCCAAGATTTTCGGATCAAGATGTAGCTCTCACTAAGCTCAACACTTTTTACAAAGGCCCAAAAGTAGGAGATCACTCAAACTAGATCAAACCCTAGAGAGAAGTTGAAGTTTTAGAGAGAGGTGCTCTCCAATGGAGGTTTTGAAAGTTAGAGAGAGAGAGAAGAGGTTGAAAAGTGATCCAAAAAGTGATTTCACGGATTGATATAAAAACAGGTCCGCTTGAGCGTGGGATTCCCCGCTCGAGCGTCAGACACAGACTTACGCTCGAGCGTCAAAACCCCCGCTCGAGCGTCGATTGCACACTTTTAGAAGTTTTGCAGACCATGATTCCCGCTCGAGCGTCAGAATCCCCGCTCGAACGGAGGAACAAAATCAAAAGGGCCCGCTCGAGCGTTAAAACTCCCGCTTGAGCGTCGATTAATCTGCAAAGCAAAAATGTTGAGAGATGAAAAACCACGCTCGAGCGTCAAAACGTCCACTCGAGCGGAGAAGCAAAAACGAAGGGCCCACTCGAGCGTCAAAAGCCCCGCTCGAGCGTGAAGGCCAAAATCTGGGCATCAACTCTAGGTTTCAAAACACAACTAACTTGTGTCAAACCTGCCCAACATAACCCAAGACTCAAATACAAAGAGTAAATGATAGAAATGAGAATAAGACAACAACCCATCCACGGAACTGAGTCCGGAATACAATACACAAAGGAAGGGAAAATCGGGATCGCTATAACCTCCTCCCCTTAAGGAATTTCGTCTTCGAAATTAGATACAAGTTTCAAAAACATGTTCTCTCAATTCTCAACAATATTACAATTCAATATATATTAGCCTGTACCATCACCGGTCATACCATCCCTTCTCAAGGGGCAAATTACAACATATTCTACAACATGCATTATCAACATGCATTTCCTTGAAATTCACCAATTTCAACACATATTCAATTACATATTCAATGCCAATAATATATTTGCATTTCTACAACATAATTAACATATGCAATGCTAAGATAACCTTCCATTTTCCAAGCATATTCAACAATGCTGCCTCGAAGCATATCCTCAAGGATCTGAATAGTACGCTCGGACTGCCCGTCAGTCTGAAGATGATAAGCCGTGCTAAAGGTCAATCTAGTGCCCAAGGCACTCTGCAAACTCTGCCACAACCTAGCGGTGAAACACAGATCTTTATCTGAGACGATCGACACTGGGACCCCATGCAACCTCACTATGTCCCAAATATACAAGTCGGCAAGATGATCTACCGAATCTTTCACGTGCATAGGAATAAAGTGCGCCGACTTAGTCATCGGTCTACAACCACCCAAATAGTATCACTACCCCGCTGAGTCCTCGGAAGACCTACAACGAAGTCCATAGTGACATGCTCCCACTTCCACTCGGCAATAGGCAAGGGTTGTAACAAACCCGCTGGCCTCTGATGCTCGGCCTTCACTTGCACATCTCTCTTCATACCCTGCCACCAAAAATGGCAACCCAGATCACGATACATCTTAGTGCCTCCCGGATGTACCGCAAGGCGTGAATGGTGAAACTCTCGGAGTACTTCCTCTCGGCAAGACTTCGGCACAAACAGACGCTCTCGGTATCTCACACTCAGGTCTGGATACACAGTCAAACCCTTTTCAGCCTTTCCGTTGGAGATCTTCTCTCAGAGGGATTCTACCCCAAGATCACCTCAATGTGCCTCTAACACTCGATTCACAAGTGTGGGCTGCGCAACTACAGAAAACAAGGCCGCAACCTCAACGGATTTGCCCAGAAGCAAATCGAACTCGTTAAGTGCACCCAACGTCTCCTACTCCCGGATGGATATACAAGCTACATCACTAATGGATTTCCTGCTAAGGGCATCGGTCACAACATTGGCCTTTCTTGGGTGATAGTGCAACTCGAAATCGTAATCCTCAATAAACTCCATCCATCTCCTCTACCTCAAGTTCAAGTCTCTATGAGTA